ACAGTCCCTCGTGGTACTTGCTGGACCGGACTGGGATTGACTGGACCTTACTGCTGACTGGATGGGGGCTCACTGCTATCCTACCGCTATCGTACTGCAAACATACTGCAGTGGGTCCAACACTTGCCCACTTGCCCACTTGCTCGACCTTCTAGAAGGACTACAACTAAGACTTCTGGAACTCGTTAAGACTTTTTTTCTACAGACCTACAGATCGAACCCTTGCTACCTATGGACCCTACGAGAGTCTACGAACTATTACAAATACATAGGTCGTGGGTTCAAGCCTTGGGGTCGACACAGATGCTGTACATCGGTAGGGTACGGGCTAGGGATCGAGCCCTGGGGTCTGCATCTGCTACTGCAAAAGGTGAAAACCGTTTCACTCCCGCCGTCATAAACTCGAGGTTCTCCGAGAATATCTTAGTCCAAGGCAAGACCTTTACCCTTCCTATCACGCTCATAGGCTCTGACTATGTCGGGAGCTATTTCTAGGAGTTCTGTTCTAGTAAACCAGCGGTCGTCCTCCGGTTCTTGATAGGCAAACCGGACCTTATACTGTTTCTGTGGACGACCTCTACCTCATGTCCTAAACACATCTTCATCTACAATGCCGTCAATGTCATATCTGCCATCCATATCCTGAGGGATCATGGATCTTCTTGAAGGGAACTGCTGACTTGTGACACACGACAACAACTTTGAAGCATGGAACACCGGGTAGGTGTGGAGGTGTGCTGGAATTCCTATAGTGTAGGATGGTCCGTCCTCTCCGCCCTTGACTTCTAGAACCGGACACGGTCCTCTATATGCAGGCAGTAACTTCTGCGAGATGTTCTCCTCAGGCGCAAACTCTTTAGACTTGACCCAGACCAGGTCGCCTACCTGAAACTGCGATGGGCGACGTGCTTATTAGCCTGTTCTATCATGCAGTGTTGGGCCTTCCTGAGGTTTTCAACAACAGTTGCTAGCTCTCTCTCGTGCTGTATCGCGAACTCCCTGGTGTCGGGCGGTAGCCTGTGAATCTGATCCTGAGTAAGTCCTTCAAACGGTCTGCGGGGTCTAAAGAACTTATGTAACTCGTTAGGAGTGTGACAGGTAGACAAATGCACGCTGTTATTGTATGCGCTGGCTATCTTGGGCAACATCTCGTCCGAATTGACTTGATCTGGTCTAATATACATGCGCATAACTCGTTGCAGGATCTTATTCATCTGTTCAGTCTGACCGTTAGTCTCTGGATGACGGCCAGATGACATTAACAACTTTGACCCATAGACTTCCATTAGTCCCTGCCAGTTCTGGCTGGTGAAGCGGGTGTCTCTATCACTAACAATAGACAAAGGAACTCCGTGATCACTAATCCAATGATAAAAAAACTTCTGAATGACTAATTCCGTACGTGCCTCTGTAGGTAAAGGAACAAAAACTGCATATTTACTGAATCTATCGACGATGACCATGACTTGGCTCTTGCCGTGTCTACTCTTGACACGGGCATCCATAAAGTCAATGGAGACTGAATCTCCAGGTTGGTCTGGGATAGGCAAGGGTCTGAGAAGACCTAGAGGGGCGCACGTTGTGGTGTTGTTTCTCTGGCAAATTTTGCAACTGCGAACATACTCCATACAACCGGTTTTCATTCCTGGCCAGGTATACGCACGCATCAGATTGGCTAAAGTCTTCTGCCAACCGAAATGTCCCTCTGTGTCATGGCATTCCCCTAGGACCAGACTACGGATCTCTTCGCTGTTGGGAATGCACAGGCGGTCTACTACATTAGTCTTCTCAAACAATAGTCCTTCAGTAGTGCGGTAGTCTGGTGCGGTCTCTTGGGCCTCCTTAACTCTCTTGAGGAGGTCACTATAGATAGGGTCCTGCGCATACGCCTGTCTAACTTTCTCTTGCAGGTCCTTCCCTATATCCAGATAGTGAACTATAGCTCCAAACTAGTCTGATTTCCTACTCAGAGCATCCGCAACTACGTTGTACTTGCCCTACACTGGCTTGAGCTCGAAGTCATATTGGTCTATCTCAGCGGCCCACCTAGCTAACTTAGGTATCATCTTGGCCTGGGTCCTTAACCATCTAAGAGTTTCGTGATCTGAGTATACTTTGAAGTGCCTCCCAAGCAGGTAATGCTTCCAGTATGCTCTAAGGCCTGCCTGAGAGCGTAGAGTTCTCTCTTGTACGTTGAGGTGGCTACCTTCTCTTAGGGCATCCTCGTGGACATGAACTCTACGGGTCTATAGCCATTGCCGTCGTCTTGTTGCAACACGGAGCCTATACCATACCGACTTGCGTCCGTGGTGGTGACAAATGACAGAGACGGATCTTCCACTTTGAGGACAGGATACTCTATTAACGCGCGCTTTAACTTCTTAAGCGCAGACGTACAGTCTTTATCCCATTACCAGATTGTCTCTTTCTTAAGCAACCTGTGCAAGGGAGCGGCGATAGTAGAGAAGTTCCTTACGAACTTTCTATAGTAATTAGCTAAGCCTAAGAACGACCACAACTCTGTCAACGTGCGGGGCGTCGGCCAGTCCCTAATTGCCGCTATCTTGTTGTCCTCAGGCTTAATGCCATCTCCGTCTAACACGTGGCCCAAGTACAAAACCTGTGTCTTGGCCCACTCGCACTTCTTTGGGTTGATCTTGAAGTTAGCCTCTCTTAGTTTCTCCAAGACCTGCCTCAAATGACCCTGATGCTCTTGGAGGGTTCTGATGAATACTAATATATCATCTAAATAAACCAGTACAAACTTATCTAACCACGGTCTGAATAGATCGTTCATACAACGAGGAAATATAGCTGGCACGTTGGTTAGTCCAAAGGGCATTACTATAAACTCATAATGCCCATAACGAGTCCGGAACGCAGCCTTGTACAGGTCATCAGGATGGACTTCTATCTGATGATACCCGAACTTCAAATCTATCTTTGAGAAATACTTACAACCCTGCACCTGATCTAGGAGATCGTCTATCCTGGGCAGTGGTTCAACATTCTTGACTGTGATAGCATTCAGACCCCTATAGTCTATACACATCCTTAACTCTCCCTCCTTCTTGGGGACAAATAACACCGATGCTCCAAAAGGAGATGAACTGGGCCTGATCCAACCTTTCTCGAGGAGTTCGTCTAATTGCTTGCGCAACTCCTCTAACTCTCTAGGGGACGTCCTGTAGACTGCTCCCTTAGGAGTTCTACTGCCAGGCTCTATCTCTATCCTGTGTTGAATCGGTCACATCACTACTCCTGTTGGCGACTCGGTCAAATCTTTGAATTCTTCCAGCAGCTTGGCTATGGTTGGATCTGTGGAACTATCCCCTTCCTTAGGCTTAGTGAGAGGTCTAACATAAACTACAAAGACCTGATCCTCTAATTGCTCCTTTTTTACTAGTCGCGCGAACGCGGGAGCACTGAGGCAGCAATGTGCCAGAGTGTTGTCTACACCCGACACATGAAACGGGCGGGCAGTCTTGACCTCGCCTGATGGACTAGGGAGCCTACACTCATGCTTTCTCAAGTGGAGTGTAGCCCCTGCTGCCTCTCCCCAATCCATCCCTAACACTATGTCGAAAGGAAGGTCATCCTGTACGAGGAGAGTCAGGGAATGGAGAACTTTCTCCACCTTCCCATCTTTCTCTAGGCGAAAATACACCTGGACTCCCTCTACGTAGTCCTCAACACGCATCATGCGGTTGTCTGCGAGGACACTGACTATGGGGTCTGCCAACTTTTGGACTTTTAATCCTAGCCTTAACTTTTTCAGCGCTCTACGACTAATGTAACTACGGGTAGCCCCTGAGTCTATAAGGGCCCCTACTCTACTCCTGAACACTTCTACATCAACTAAGATTAGTTGTCCCTTACTCTCCTTCTTCATTTTGGCCCACGCTGGCATCCTCTCCTTCAATTCCTCTGCCACGCCTGTGAGGGACGTGCCTAGAGAGACGCTAACATAAGCTGTCTCTGAACAGCTAGTTAGGCACGGGCCTGCAACCTCAGCCATAGGCTCATGTGGTTTGAGAGTTTCTTGTACGGGCGCGCTCGCTTCCCCACATGGCCTTGAACTAGGGGCAGTTGCGACCCCTACTGGCGGCTGCCTTTTGACTGCTGAGCATCCCATCGGGCTTGTCTATACTTAGGACAAAATTTAATTACATGGGCCGGGTCACCACAAAACACGCACTGACCCAGGTCCACGCGTTCCTGCCATATGCGCTGGTCCAAGCCCAAATGTTCCCAGGGCCTGCCCTGTGGCAAGCCTGGGTGCCATCCTCCTTGAGGTGGCCTTCCACCTCGTTGATGTGGGGACCGACAAGAACCCTGACGATTCGGTGGGGGACCTTGATCCCCACCTCCCACTTGGCGGTTCCCTTGTCTGCCAACCCCCTGTGCGCCCGGTCCTCGGCCTCCCGTGGACTGGCCCCTTTGGCCCTAGCCTCCTCCTCGACCTTGCAGCCTCCCTCCAGCCACGACAGCAGCATAGGACCTCCCCTGCCCCATGTTACTGTCCTCATCTTCGAGGCCCCACTCGATCTGATTATATGGGACCTCGTCTGTACCACCTTCCTCTAAGGTAAGGATCATATGATCCTTGACCCTGACTTGGCCAGAAATTATATGGCCTTTCCACTTCTTCCCCTTATCCAAGTCCTTATGCCAGAAAGTGGAAACTGACATGGACTTTGACTCAAACAGGACCACCTCTCTACTTAGTACATCGTACGTGATGTAGGCCTCTTGAGATCTGTCAAAGAAATGCCCACGCAGGGGCTCCGGCATGGCATGATAAAATAACTGGACCAACTGGGGCTCAGTGACCCCATGGTCTGGGACGGCTACCAAGTCGTCCATAACGCCCTTGAGTGCCCTTGCACTCCGCCACTGTCGTGAGTGGATGGTCTGTAACTTATCAGAGGCTCTAATGCCTCTCGTTGGGTCAGCAAATCTCTCCCTCAGGAGTTTGAAGAATTGCGGAAGGGGGGTGATCTTGGAATATGCAACCACGTTGTTTTCACAATCGGCTGCAGTCGCAAGGGATCTGGCAAAACTGGCCGCTTCATCTTTGAGGGTCTAGAAGGCGACGAGGACTTGCTCCTCAGTCAGGATGTGTTGTAAATACACGTAACTATTGACGCTCGCCTCCCAGTTATCAAAATTCTCCTCCTTTTTCCCGCAGTATGCGTCTGGGAACTTAAGGGCTCTTTACAGGGCCTGGCCTCACTCTCTATAGCGGCTATTGCTTTGGCACCCTCGATGGGGCCTCACAAAACTTCCCCATGTTGTCTCTCACCCGCCTAACTTCTCCTCCAACGTGGGTGACCATATCGTGCGCAAAGTCTCGAAATCCTGACCGCATGGCACTCAGGGTCACATCGTGACCCCAATTGGCTTGGCGCTCCTCCATCCACGCCTCACTCAACACTTCCAAATACCCCAACATCTTATCCATTTTGGCAGAAATATCTTCCTGCGCTTGCACCTCTCGTTTACAGTCTCTCACCTTTGCCACCTCCGCGGTCAACCTATTAACTTCGTCCCTCCTTCTCTTCTTTTCTCTCTTCATCCTCAGTTTCCACTCCAACTTCTTCTCCTCCTCTCCTTCTTGCCGTTCCTGAGGGTCCTCGATTGTTGCTAGCGTACTAGCTAACGCACCCCTCTCATCCTGTGGCACATAGAACTGTGCCTCCTCATCTTCCCCCAACGATAAATTAGCAATCCACTCACTGATTTTCTTCTCCATTGCTGCATCCTCATTTTTCGTGCTACTACTCTCCCATTTTTCTTCTCTGCGTTTTCTCTCCTCCTCTGCTTCTGCTGCTGCTTCCTCTTCGACAACCTTTTTCTTCTCCTCCATCTCTTCTTCCAACTTCTTCATCTTCGTCGCCTGCTCCTCTGCGATTGCTTTTAATTTCGTTTGCTTCAGAAACTCTTTCCTCTCCTTGTTCTCTCTCACTAAGGCAGCCATCTTCTCTTGCTGTTCCTGAGTGTAGGGGCTGGTACTCTTCCCACTAAGGGTCTCAACCATGGTGACAAGTGCATAACCGGATTGACGGTTCCAAACCTCACCACAACCTACTGACTCAATCTAATGACTCACAAAATCTGGACAGGGATCCTGCCAACTAGGGTCTCTAGCCTAGACCTATACTATGGCTGTTACTACTAGACCTGTTGCTGATCAGGAGACATTTAAGGAGATCCCCCGTAACTCCTCAGGAACTATTTAACGTCGCAAACAGGACGACACGATCAGCAGGTCTTCTCAAGACTTAGACGGCCTGTTGTGCAACCCACAGCTCGGATTTTGGGCCTACCGTGCCACACCGAGCAGCCCGCCGGTCAGTACCGGTCCTTGGCAGGGTTAGGCTTCCGGGACAGTCGAGTCGTCAGACACAATCTTTAGCCCTACTCAGCCCGTATGGGTTTGGTCAACAAGGCCCTATCCTTCATCCACAGAGTTCCTGGACAAAAGAGACTCGATGCAGAAAGAAGAGACAGACAGACTGGACTCAGCGAGTACCACAGGGTGTGTGCTCATCCATAGGGCGAGGGATAGGTTGAAGGCTTGGCGAGATTATACCGGCTCCAGCTTGGTCAAACTCGTGGTCAACGGCTTGGTCAACTCCGGTCAACGCTGCGGTCAACTCCTGGTCAACGCTGGTCAGCACCTCCGGTCAACTCTCGGTCAACTTCCGGTCAGCTATGGCTGTCGGCTTCTCTTTCCCTCACCAACCTTCTTCTTCTCCTCACCTTCCTCGTCTTCTTTCACCCCGGCTATCTCCCTTTTTATTTTTTTTTATTTTTTTTTAATCGTCTCTCCCTTCACCTCTCTCGGCTATGGCTTCCCTCACTCTGCTCGGTCTCTTCCTCTCTGTCCTTCTTCACCTCCTTCGTTACCCCGTGGTGGAGCTCTGCGGCTATGGCCTTCTTCTTCTTCTTTGTGGACTGCACAACAGCTTCACAGGTACGTAACAGCCAAACTTGTATCGCTCGTCTCTCTCTCTCTCTCTCTCTCTCTCTCTCTCTCTCTCGCCGTAGTGATATCTCCGGCGCAGCAGGTACGTAGTAACCCAATCGTGTATCGCTCAACCTTCCTCTCTCCCCTCTCTCTCTCTCTCTCTCTCTCTCTCTCTCTCTCTCTCTCTCTCTCTCTCTC